GATAGATAGATAGATAGATCGCTACCTGCCGATCCAGCGGGTAGTGTAGACGTACCCTTAGTGTGACCTGCATGCCGTTTGGTTGTTTGTGAAGGGCCCAGGTTGGGGGCCATAGCAGCAGAGAATTGCGAGGCACCTCAGGTTGCAGGGCAGGTGGTGACAGAGCCCTTCACTGGTCTGGATTGCACCCTGGAATGTCATATACAGTCATTGGATATACTTGCCACCTCCATTCTTCCCGAGCCCAAATTGCTGCCTGCTCAGTCTCCCTTCCTCAACCCCCTCTTCCATGGCCGTCCCCCCCTCACTCCAGATGTCAGCACCATGGGGATTAAAAAATCAAATGTGCTGCATGGCAAATGTGTAGCAGCAGATACAGAAAGAGAAAAAGCAATAGGAAACAGAAAAGTTACCTTGTCTAATGGTTTCATTAATGCACTCAGTTTTTAGTACAGTTGAAATTTCATTAGGTAAATGGCCCAAATGAGGCTACAGAGATTTCAAGTGGCATAGAGATCTTAAGCTATTTGGGTTTAGAACAGTTACTGCAGAATTGTATTAATTTTGCAGTGAACTTTACGCTGATCTACAGCATAAAAGAGAACTTAAAGCAAAGATAGTGGTGTCTTTTTGGCACTGGAATGCACTGGAAGGCAAAGTGTCTTGGGACTGCCCACATAGCTAGTGATTCCTTTTCACTCCTGCACCAGCTAGGTGGACACCATTCTGGTGAATAGCAGCACTGCATATCTTGCTGGCTTGCCCATTGCCTTTTTAAACAAGACCCCTCTGTCTCCTGGGGACTTGCTTTTGGGTAACAACATCCAATGAAAAGGCAGATTGCAGAGGGGCACATGCAATTACTAACCTGCAGACCGCTGCCTCCCACCCACCTAAAACCAAGACAGCCACCCAAATGTCCATCCACTCTTAGCCCTCACCCATCTGAAACCAACATAGCTACCCAAACACGCATCCTTTGCTGCAGGGACCCTATGCAAGGGGGAACTAATTTGGAAAACATCTTACCATTGCAAAGGGAGTCCCAGCATGTCACGAGAATATGGGAATGGTACTCCAAAACAGTGGGAAAAGAAACATTATATCATTGTTGGCATGGAGACTGGTTTTGGGACAATAAGTACTTGAGCTTTTTCTGATTTCCCTTAGCAATTGTAATGCCACACCCCATGAGCAAAGAAGAGTCTGAAAGCTCTCCAATTAAACAATCAAAAGGCAAGTGAGGATATGTTCCAGGAGCTAGTGAACTCAACCCAAAAGACAGTCATTAAGGCAGACTTGTGGAGGGATGGTTTCCTGGAGCAGTCTCAAAGGACTGAAATGGAGTGCCTGGCTCTGGAAAGGAACATGACACAGACGACTCAGAAGCAAACAGTTGTGATAGAGCATGTTGTGTTACATTCTGATGTCCTGCAAATTGTAGAGAATACACCACACTGACTACCAATTCAGTAAGTCTAATGACAAGCCCTTCCCACAACAATCAGCCCTCCAGAAAATGAAGGAGAACCCTTTCAACTGTATCACCTGCAGGAGTTTGTGAGCTCTCCTTAAGATGGGTATACCGTAGTTTCATTGGTTTTATGTTTGCTCCACGTTCTTGTTTAATTGTTTTTGTTTTTATCCAAGAAAAAATGTGTTACCTGAGTTTTTTTGTTAACTCAGTACATTCATTTCAGTACAACTCTATGGAAATATGTCATCCAGGGTATGTCTACATTGCAAATAAAAACCTGCGGCTGGCCCATGCCAGCTGACTCGAGTCCGGCTGTGGGGCTGTTTCATTGCAGTGTAGATGTCTGGGCCCAAGCTGCAGCTTGAGCTCTGGGACTCTCCCACCTTGCAGGGTACTAGACCCCAGTATTTGCAGGGTACTCCAGCCAAACCCAGTCCAGTTTTGAATCACTACACTGTCACACCAGTCACTTCTAGTTGACTGAACCCAGAAGCAGTGTTCCACTGAGTAAAGATGTTCCAGATAAATACCCTGCAGAACTAACTGCTCAATTTCCTCCTCCTCTATTAGCCATATCCATAGCATCAACATCCCTACGAAACCACTGAGCCACATCCATCCATCAGTCTGACTGCAAACGCGTGTGCATCATCCTGTTTGTATTAACGATTATCATGATCATAGTGCTCAGCACTGGATCCTCCATGCTGCCTGACAGCAGTTTGAAAATGGTAATGTTAAAATTAACAGCTGCCAGGAAAGGAATCATGGGAGTTTGTTAGTCTGTTCCCCAGTTGCAGAATTCCTGTAATTCCCAGGAGGCATCCTGAAAATCCACTGCATGAAAAATCACAGAGCATAGAGCGAAGTGACACTGTGAATTCAACCAGTGACCAGGAGAGATAAATGCATAAACTGCTAAAGCTTGAACTAAAGAGTCAAACCTCTATAACAATGCACATTCTTGGCAGATTGGCATAGAGGAGGCCCTGTAACACACAGTCACAAGTGGATTACGATTGCACCAGGGGATATCTGTCCAGGATGCTGAGTGGTTAATTTTAAAAAGCAGAGCTGTGTAGATGCAATGATTAACAAGAAAAGTGCCTTAAACTGGTATAATACCAGCATAGCCTAGTGGATAGTGTTCTGCAGGGGTTCTATCCTTGGTCTGTCACTGGCATGTTAGAGTGGGTCGACACAGCAATTAAACACTCATGACTGGCCCATGTCAGCTGGCTCCGGCTGTTTAATTGTGGCATAGACATTTGGGCTTTTGCTGAAGCCCAGGCTCTCAGGCCCTCCAGCCTTGCAAGCTCGAGTCAGCTGCCACAGGTATTTAATTGCTGTGTAGACATACCTTGAGATGGCCTTGGGGAAATCACTTCTCCAGTCTACCTCATGTTCTCTATCTGTAAAATGGGGTTAATTATAGTGATCTCCTTTGTAAAGCACTTTGAGATCTACTGAGGAAAAGTGCTATCAAAGAGCTAGGTATTATTCAGCTTTATAAAGTTAAATTGCACTTTAGAGCTAATCCAATGTAATCTCCTTATGTAGACATGGCCTCTGTGTAAACAAGGACAGTCATGTTTAACATTGTATTCCCACCTTGAACCACAACCATTTGATATAATGGTGAGCACAGGAGTTCCTCTCTATCCCGAGTGATAAATCACGTTTAACATCATGTTAGTTGCTATGACTCCTCAGGGTACTGTCTCACACTGCGAGAAATAATTGAGCAAGGAGATATAAAAATAAAATGATGTGTGAGACTGTAAGTGTCCACTTAAATCACACACAGAAAAATTTCCTTTTTTCCCAGCAAGAAACTATAAAAATATAGCAAAATACCCCTCATTGCCCCCAAACCTCAATATTAAGCAGGGATGTGAATACATATAGCAAAATCCCTGGTGGGGAGAGGGGAAAGATGGTAACACAAAGAAAACTGACATCCTTGTCACATATGTGCACAACAAATGTGCAAACATATTTAAGCAAAACTACTTACAGACATCTGAAGAAGTGAGGTTCTTACCCACGAAAGCTTATGCTCCCAATACTTCTGTTAGTCTTAAAGGTGCCACAGGACCCTCTGTTGCTTTTTACTTACAGACAGTGTTATATATTTGAAGGACTAAATAACAGAATGAATGAATAACCAAAACTAAGGAGGGAATCATTTCTATTAAGCTATACGTTACCATACATTTTCATACTTTGACAAACTTACCTTTGGTCCTGACAAAATACTGCAAGCATATTGAGTACCCAGCACACAATTCAGTAGGCGAGGGTGACATCACTGATGGAGAGTGGGTGTCCCGTATGTCCCAGGCATTCTCACTAAGCAATTAGGGCTTTGAAAATATGTCTCATTTGGGGCAATCTGGTCTATCCCAAAGGGAAAATTATTGCTCTCCACAAGTAGTGTGATGAGCCCCACAGATAAGCTCTCTCTGGCAGGGATGGTTTAGCAGCATGCAGGATGAGCAAGCAGAGGCAGGGTGATCAGCCCAAGGCTCCCTGTAGCTGGTGGCAGCATTTTAACACCTCTCCACTCCAGATCATGAGTGGGTCACAGTCTCCCGCCCTGCGGCACTGACTCCCTGCCTTCCCCTTAGCCCCAGCCCTTGTCACTGTGCCACACACAACATCAGCAGAGTCCCAGCTCCTCTCTGCTGACCTGACTGGGCCCTTTTACACACGGTGCTGGTTTCCGGGGGGGCCTCTTTCCCCGCAGCACACTGTGCTGCTTGTCCTGGAGCTGGAGCAGCAACTTGCTGCAGGGAGCAGAACCAGGTCAGTGACTCGCTGGGCTGGAGCTAATGAGCTAATGCACCCTCTGTTAAACCAGGGGTAGGGAATCTCAGCGCCTCTCCTCCTCCTGTGAGGTGGCTCCTCTCCTTACTTCCCCCAATCTCTCTCCTCTGCCCCATGATTATTAAATAACCCTGGGATTGTAGGTTCTCATCTGTCCCACCCTATCCCTGATATTAATCCCTTCCAGGCTGGCGTCTTTTTTCCTTCCGCAGTGTGAACCCCGGGAATTTGGGTTCTCCTCTCTGTCTCACTCCCCCTTGCTCCAAGGTAAAATTAGTACCTGTTTGGTTCTCATCTTCTCCTCCCCAACCCCCCTCGTATCATATTGTCCCCCCAAAATTGTAAGTCCTTGATGTTGCTATTTAACTCCCACCCAGATAATACTGGTCAGTTTGCTTTCTCTTTCCCCTCTTTGGCCATATTCATATATATATTTCCCCGTGGAGTTTTAGAAGGTACTTTAGTTTGTTTTTCCTGCCTTTGATAATTAAAAAGGCAATTGTAAACGGTGATACAAAATGTGGGGGTGGGTTGATTGGTTGGTTTGGTGGTGGGTTTTTGTTTGTTTTGCCAAGCTGTTTTAAAGACTGTTGTAAAAGTGTATAGAAATCTGACACGTGATTTGATAGTGAAATGGGAATGTGCAATATTCACAGAAAATTAGGCACTTACAGGCACCATTTAAAAAAAATCAAACCTATTATTTTGCTTCAAATAAATGTGTGATTATTCTAAGTCTTGCCACAAATCTCTTTGTTTGTTTCTCTTCTCCCATCTTTACAAACTGCAGGTTAAAATGGAGCTAGGGTAGTAAATATCTCTTCATTACTTAAGAGAGAAAAATCCTTAAGAGCAACTCTAGTTTTCACAGAAAGTGAGTATTACCTGAATAAATTCAAAGCTAAGGTTCCACTTCTAATCAAACACTAGAAATATATGCAAATGCAGAGTCAGGGTCACCTGGACAATCTTAAACCTTCCTAGTGTTAGGATGGGGTTTTAATCTTAGTTGCTGGAGTGGATCAAATACTGTGAATTTTGAAATGCTAGTGACCTTTCCTTGGTTCTCCCTGCCCCAGGAGATTCTCTGTTATGAAGGTTTCAGAGTAGCAGCTGTGTTAGTCTGTATCTGTTATGAAGCTGTCTGTAGCCTCATGAGGCTGCTTGTTTTCTGTCCGCATGTTACTTAATAGTGTTCAGACCCTGTTCCTTTTTAATGCTAAGCTCTGCTGATTATTAACACCATGTTTAGGAGCTCTTGCCATTGTGGCAAGAGCTGAATTGCTACTTCACATACACATTAAATGCAAAATAGCAATCTTTTGAAGAAGGAGGGTTTGATAAGGATTTTAAGGTGTTTGCAGACTGTAGACATTTCAAATCCACTTAGAAGGTGAAGAGCTCTGGGGTACGATGAAGTGAGTTTTAGCCCATGAAAGCTTATGCTCAAATTTGTCTCTAAGGTGTCACAAATACTCCTGGTTCTTTTTGCTGATACAGACTAACACGGCTACCACTCTGAAACCTGGTATAATACAAGTGTATCTAGGATACCTAAGTGTAATCTCACCTCACTGTGCATCTGGCATGTGAGCTATTAAATTTTTGTTAGAGACTTGTAGTTCTAGATATAGCAGCCACATGTCTATACTAAGTGTCATAACACTTGAAGAAGAGCTCTGTGTAGCTCAAAAGATTGTCTTTTTCATCAACAGAAGTTGGTCCAATGAAATATATGACCTCGCCCACCTTGTCTCTCTAATATTCTGGGAACAACACTGCAAATAACAACACTTTTACATTTGATACTATGTGGGGGAATTGTCCTGAATTATTGTCTGGAATCCAGTAACTTTCGGTGAAGAGTTGTAAAACCTGTCACTTTTTCAGAAATGTGTGTTGTGTTAAAGGCAGAAACAGTTTGGTGTGTCTTAAATAGGCAGGTGCATTTAGGATTAAAGGGACACTGTTGTCTGGAAAATTACACTTCTATCTGAAAAGCTGTACCTACTATTGTTACAGAACCTCTGAGATTAATTGGGGATTAGTCCGGCTTGAGCAGGGGGTTGGACTAGATGACCTCCTGAGGTCCCTTCCAACCCTGAGAACAGAGCATGGAGGAAATACTTATTTTTCTCTGGTTTTTAAATTTGTATGCTTTCTGCAATTTGGCAGCATCATTTTTGCAGATGATCAGTTGCATCGCTGTCATGCACTGCCTGACAACGGCTCAAGTGTATACTCTGCAGGAGGATAGCAAAATAGAAATTGAAGAGGCAGTAGACAGGCATGTGAACAGACAGACATGTGGGAAGGAAGGATGGTCCAGTGGTTAGGGCACTAGCCTAGTACTTGGATTCAGTTCTCTGCTGTGCCACAAACTCCAGTGTGACCTTGAGAACTGCAGCACAGAGAGACTATGTGACTTGCCCATCTGTAAAATAGAGATAATAGTACTTCCTTACTCACAAGGAAGGATAAATCCCTTGTGAAGATAAAATGTGAGGCACTCAGGTAACTTGGTGATATAAGTATCTAAGATAGAAAGGGAAGGTGGGATACACATGACTGAATTTGGTGTTACTTTTGAGCCCACCCCAAAGACTCCTGTAAACATGCCTAAAGATTAAACAGAATGCTCTAACTTTTTTTTTTAATTAAATGGTGTTCTGTCACAAGACTGAATCTTTTAAAAAAATTAGTCAATTAAAAAAATCATGTTGACTAAGTCCTTTAAATATAAAATAGTACCCAAGCAGTCCGTCAACAAGACATAAGCTCACTTCTTAATTTTCAGAGTCACTGGTGTGGTTCTGAACATTGTGAAAGCAACCCATCGAATTTTTCCCCAAGATCAGCTAATACTATGTGCTGGGATGGTGAAATATTTTGGATTTTAAGCTTTTGATAATATTGTATCTATTTTAAACAGTCAGAAAGAAAGTCTTTCTTTCTCTGTGTCAATATGCCTTGTTTTAACTGTTTCCTTTAGGCCCTTATCCTATATGCTGTTCTATGCAGATGTACTTCTGCATCCATGAGGGGTCCAGTTTGCAAGATCATCCTTATCTGCTAAAATAAGGGACTTTCTTTATACTTCACTTTGTATAGCATCTTGCTGGACCTTAAGGAATAATAATAATAATAAACATATGATTCTCTTGCATTCTGTATTTCCATAGTTTCTACTGTTATATTTTACTCTGAATTTTGAAATACCAGGCTAACATTTGTGGATTTGGTGAAACTACAATGTTCTCTTGAGATTTTAAGTTTAATATTTATAACTTTAGCTCCATCAATGATGAAGCCTTTTGTCTAGAAAATTCCTTACATTTTTGAATAATGTCTATGACATTTGACATTGATTTTTGGTTTCTAAAAGATATATTTATTGGTCTGGACATCTCAGCATTATTAACATGAGGCTCATAGAATAAGTTCGTCAATTATCAGTGAAGAGTCATGGACTAAAATGGAGGTATGTTCTATTGAAGCTTTGTTGTCTATGGGTGCAGACAACCTAAGGTGCAATGTGATGGTAGATCTGACCCAGCTTTACCAGAGTCCAATGCCTGCATGGGCTCATGCAAGTATCTTAAGATATTCCATCTCTTTAGTAAGTAGGGGACTGATCCAGTTCCTATTGAAGTCAATGGGATTTGGATCAGGTCCCAATAACTATTGTCCCTTCCCTCTTCCGCAGCCTCATGCTACTGAAAGATACTCTTCCTTGATTAAGCTACCTCAGCATAACAAATAGAAACAAAACAAATATTTTTTTACTAAAAATATTAAAAGTGACCAGTGATTTTGGGTGACTTGATATTTGGGTATCTGTCTTTGAGACATCTGAAAGAAACCTGGTTTTCAGAAAGTACTCAGTACCCAGCTTCTAAGAATCAGGCCCCTTTAATGTATCTCACACTAAGGCAACCAAAAATTGAGGCATCTTAAATCACAGGTCACTTCTGAAAATCTTGGATCTTGGTACACCTCTACCCCGATATAATGCTGTCCTCGGGAGCCAAAAAATCTTACCGCGTTATAAGTGAACTTGCTTTGATCCACCGGAGTGCGCAGCCCCCCCCCCCAACCCCCGGAGCACTGCTTTACTGCGTTATATCCGAATTCGTGTTATATGGGGTTGCGTTATATCGGGGTAGAGGTGTATTTCTAAGATCTAACTGTTTCAGAAGAGGGAATGGGAAGTGAGGACCATTAGGAAATTCTTCTAACTTTTGGCAAAGCTTTTTGGGGAATCCTGCTTTCTTGAGAATGTTTTGCCTGATTTTCTCCAAACTCTTCATTCTCATAAGTAAGCTGGAGAAATGCGGGGTCGGTAGAACTACCACTAAGTGGATACACAATTAAACAACTGCAAACAAAGAGTAACTATTAATGGAGTGGTGTCAAATTGGAGGGAGGTCTCAAGTGGGGTTCCACAGGGATCAGTTCTGGATCTGGTGGATGTGGGAATGGAGAGCATACTGATCAAATTTGCAGATGAGACAGAGCTGAGGGAGGGGGTTGCAAACACTTTGGAGGATAGAACTAAAATTCAAAGGAATCTTGATAAATTGGAGAACTGGGCTAGAGATGACAAAATGTAATTCAACGAAGAAAAAGCAAATGCACAAATACAGAATGGGGGATAACTGGCTTGGCAGCAACACTGCTGATAAGGATCTGGGAGTTGTGGTGGATCAAAACCTCAACGTGAGTCAACAATGTGACGCTGTTGGGGGGAAAAAAAGCAATTGCAATTTTGGATTACATTAACAGAGGCATAGCAAGTCATGGGGAGGTTATAGTACCGCTCTACTCGGTGCTGGTTAGGTCTCAGATGGAGTATTATGTCCAGTTTTGTACAGAAAAGATGTAGAGAAACTGGAAAGGATCTAGAGGTGAGCGACAAAGATGATCAAAGGGACGGAATGCAAGCCATATGAGCAAAGGCCGAAGGAACTGGCTATTTTTAGTTTGGAAATAAGGAGACTAAGGAGACGACATGATAGCAGTCTTCAAATATTTGAAAGGCTACCATAAAAAAGATGGAGAAAAATTGTTCTCTCTTGCTACAGAGAGCAGAACAAGAAGCAGTGGGTTCAAACTACAACATAGCATAGCAGATTTACATTAAATCTCAGGAAAAACTTCCTAACTGTAAGAACAGTAGGACAATCAAACAAACTGCCTCAGGCAGTTGTGGAATTTCCTTCACTGGAGACTTTCAAAAGGAGATTGGACAGCCATGTCTTGGATGG